GATTTATGCCAAAGAAACTTTCTACAAAGTTTCTCAATCTCATACAACAACTTTTTAGGAATTAAAGAGTGGGTTACTAAAAAATTTGGCATAGTCAACAAAGAACTAGAGATAAGAGTAATCTTACCTCCCAAGGATAAAGTCTTCTTGCCCCAAGCATTGAGCTTATCCATAACATTGCTTATCATATCTTGAAAATCAGCCAACTTCAATCTATTTAAGGACAACTTGATCCCAAGGTAGCTCACCTCCTTCACATTCTTGTAACCAAACAATCTGGTAACCTTCTTCTTAATTGTGTATCCAACTGCCTTCCCAAATAAAATCTGAGATTTACTAACATTTATCCTTTGACCCGTCCAATTGCAAAAATCTTCAACTATCCTCTTCCATAATTTGGCTAAAAAGATGGACACATGAGAGAAAAGAAGCACATCATCTGCATACAAAAGATGAGTTATCCTAGGGCCTCTAGGTGAGACCCTAATACCAAGATCCTGACCCTTCTGCTCAATAGAATTAGAAAACAACTGGAAGCACATAATGAAGAGATAAGGAGATAATGGGCATCCTTGACGAAAGCCACTATGAGCATCAATCCACTCAGAATTCCTTCCATTAATAATGATTGAAAATCTCACACCTACAACACAATCCATGAGAAGTTTAGAAAACATACAAGGAAATCCATACCATTTAAGGATTTGATCAAGTGCCGGCCATCCCATGCTATCATAATCTTGTTCCATATCTAGCTTCAATGCCATCAACCCCTTCTTATTCTTAGAGAATTTAATCTTGTGAACAATTTCTTGTGCCAACAAGCAATGTTCAGAAATAGACCTTCCCGGCATAAAGGCCATTTGATCTTTAGTGATCAAATTGGAGATGCACTTCTTCAATTTGTTAACCAAAATAGTGGCTGCAATTTTATAGTTAGTCTAACATAAACTAATCGGCCTGTAATTAGAGGGAGTTAATGGGCTTTTGATTTTGGCAATCAAGACAATTAGAGTATCCTTCCAAGACTTGTTCATATGGCCAGAATTAAGGAAGCTCTTAATAGCTTCCCATATGGATTTCCACACAATATCCCAATAGCATTTATAGAATGATGAAGTCACCCCATCCATACCTGGAGCTCTATTGTTACCCTACTAAAAAATTGAAATCTGTAGCTCAGCCAAAGTAAATTCCGAGCACAATTCATCAACAGCACTTTGGCTTAACTTCTATTTTCCCGAAACAGTAGGCCAGCTAGTTAACTCACAAGTTATGTTCCTCCATTTGGCTTCAAAGAAATGAGTGAGTACCTTCTCAATTTCATCATCTTCAACTTGAGATATATTATTCACATCTCTAATTTGAACCACTCTATTCCCATTCCTTCTAGCCTATGCAAATTTATGGAACATCTTTGAATTGTTGTCACCTTCTTCATGCCATCTAGCCTTTGCCCTTTGATTCCACCATGTAGCTAACCGGTTCAAAGTTACATTAAGCTCGTGCACTTTACTTCTAAGCAAAATGAGGTCCTCATTAGTCCAGCCAACTCCATCAGCCTCTTTGTTTTGGAGTTCAATAATATCCTTCTTCAAATCTTCCTTGAGAGTCTTCAGATTTTTACACTTATTTTTGCTCCAAAAGAACAATGCCTTCATTGTTCTACAATTCTTCCTTTGAAGGATTTCACTATGATCACCAAAATCATTCTTCTTCCAAGAATGATACACAATGCTTCTAGCCGCCGGATAAGACCTCCAAGTATCTTCAAATTTGATACTATTCCTCTTGACTTGAATCTTCTCATCCAATTTAATGGCAATTGGACTATGATCCGATGCCACTCTTTCTAAATGCCTAGTCATAGCTGCTGGGATTCTCTGAAGAGCAATCGAGTTCACCAAACATCTATCCAACCTTTCCCAAATTTGAGAAGTTCCTTCTTTGTTGTTACACCAAGTGTACTTTGGTCCAATGCTCCTAACATCATGAAAATCTGAATTTGTCATAAATTGTTTTATCTCCCTCAGCCCTTTGGGAAATAAAAATATCTTACCTCCTCTCTTCTCCTCCTTGTTCAAAATACAATTAAAATCACCACCAATGATGGATGGATTAGGTTCTTTCAAACCATCTTCACGCTGTCTCCAAAGATCATCCCTTTCTCAACAATGACTCCCATACACCGTTGCAATGTTCCATAATCCCATGCTAGGGATCAACAGATCCCCCAAGATCATTTATGAAGAAGTACCCTTGACCACAAAAGACACAATTCTCTTGTCCCATAGCACCAACATACCCCCTGACAAGCCAATGGCTGGAATATGAAAAAATTCCCAATCATTCCCAATGAGATAGTCAATCTCCTTCCTACCAATACAAGTCATCTTAGTCTCCAAAAGGCCAATAAAACAAACATCTTATTCTCTAACCACCTCCTTCAGATACAAGGCGGCCTCCCTCTTCCTAGCCCCCCTGCAATTCCAAAAAAGAAGGGTAGACATTTAAAATTTGATTGGGGTAACCTCCCCACTCATGGAACTCACCCTTCCATCCCTTCTCTTATTTTTATGAATTGTTTCAAGAGGTCCCAAAGATCTTAACTCCTTGGCAAATTTAACCTTACTGCTCCCATTTTGAAATCCCAAACCAGTATTCTTCATATCTTCATCAACAATTTTCACTGCATTATTTCCTTCTCCATTAATCTCCTCAGTGCACTGACTACCCAAGGCTTCAGAATTATCCACATCCATATTATTCTTCACAGGTTCATCACCAGAATCAACCATCAGAGCATCAAATCTGTCACTAACCTCAATTGGCTGAGAATTTTTAACAGCATTCTGCTGTCCACCATCCTCCTTATTCTGAATAGGAATTTTATCATACATTAAGTTCAGATTACTTACATTATCTCCCTTCTTCAGCTCAATAGAATCAACTTTCTTCACAGGTTTGGACCCCATATTACCCATCTTATTTATCTGTCGTTCATTCAGTTTTCTCCTAGCACCTAATGCCTTAACAAAACGATTATTTCTAAAATGAACATGTATCCATGGGCCATATTCAGACTTGATCATCCCAGAATTGGCTTCAGGGATAGTCTTGCTGGGCTCATCTGCAACCAATTTTGACGTGGACTGATCTATAATCCCTTGAGCAACCTCCTCAGGGAATTCATCCTTGTTGTGACCCACACGACCACAATGGTAACAAAGCAAATCCACCTTTTCATATTCCACCTGCTGAAAAAATCTGCCCGCTGATCCTTCCACCCAAACTCCGTTTGGTAACTTCTTTTCCAAATCAATTTTAACACATATTCGAGCGAACTCCCTCTTCCCCCACCGAAAGGTATTACCATCAATGTACATCGGCGTCCCGAAACGAGACGCAATTCTCGCTATGTTGTCTTCATCCCAACAATAAAGCGGCAAACAGGGGAATCATATCCATATGGGAGCGGTGATCCCCTTGAAGGAGTAAGGATCAAAAGCAGAAGTCCACCGATCCATTCCAACAATGTGTCCTCCGATAAACCATGGTCCACCATTAAGTACTTCCTCCACAGCCTCCTCCGTCCTGAAAGAACAAAGGATCCAATCCATTCCAATTGAGGTTAAATGAAAACCTCCATACTTACTCCACTGTTTCCTCAGCTCCAAGCTACACATTGGGAATGGCACATTGCTACCCAGAACTTTGATCACCACAGAGTGTCTCAGGACATGCTTATTCTTCTCCTCCATCTCCGAATTTAGCAAAACAGCGACCCCATCGTCTGACAATTCAATTTTCTCTCTATTCCAATCTATCTTGATGTGCTTCGGCTTAGTCCATGCATTACCAATCTCATTCCAGCTTTCTTGTTTATTTGCATCATCCTTCATCATTCCTTCATTCTTCAAATCCCTTCCATGATCATTACCAAGATCAAGAACATCAACTCGTTCTTGACCGTTTCCATTTTTCAAACAAGAAACCCGATCCTCATTCGAACCAAGAATATTAAAAGATTCACAATCCTTCGATGATACATCTTCAGATTTAAAAAAATCAAGATTCAGAATACATGGCCTCCCAAGATCCTCACGCCTCCGAATTGGTTCATCTTCCATAATCACCTTTTTTCCTTTTCCTTCAACCACCGAAGGACGAGACGGAGGTCTCATCCCTTCTCTGATTACCACCCCATTACCGCCTCTACCACCAGTTCGTAACAACACTGGAGGTCGCGGAGCAGCCATAACAATCAGCAAAGAACTCCGATCATCATTCAAAGGCCGCGCCACTAGCTGCAGAAAAATGCAGGAAAAAAACAATTCGAACCAAAGGAATAAATTCTCTCTCTAGAAACCCAGACGTTCTCTCTAGAATTAGTCACAAAATCTTACTATATTATGTGCCTCGTTCATATCCTTCATTTGGATTAATATTTTATTGAGTTTGTGTGTGTTAATTAAGTACTAATTATGTTAGAATTTAATTAAGTTAATTAATTAACCTTTAAAAGTTTGATGTAGGATGTTAAGCTTCATGAACTATCCCTAGGCACACCAAGAGGTGGGTGAATTGGTTGTTTAAATTTTTTTTTTCCACAAAATAGTTTTTAAGATTTTTAATAACTTAAAATAAATAATATTAACACCTAATGCTGAAGCAAAAATGAAAAAAACTTATAACTATGGTGATGATGAGTTACTTGAATTAGTATATCATTAAACATATAATTTTCCAACATGAAATTTTCAAAAAAATAAAATGCAGAAAAGTAAATTACAAAAAGTAAAACTCAGAATGAACACACCAGAATTTTATAGTGGTTCAATCAATTAATGTCCACTCCTTGGAGTCCTCTCTAAATATTGTATTAAAATTTTAGTGTATATGAAATTCAAATAGGTTGTTAGACCTAATACAACTGTCCCAAGGCTAACCAAGAGGGGGTGAATTGGTTATTTAAATTTAGAAAACTAATTTAGATATTTTATACAATAATTAAAATTTTCTCAAAATTATTTTTCAACCACAAAAATTAAATGTGCAGAAAATAAAAAATAGTAAAATATAAAGAAAAAAACACCAAATTTTATAGTGGTTTGGTCCAACTAGACCTACATCCACTCCCTGAAGACTCCTTCAGGTATTACACTATACTAGAATGTTTATCTTTTTGCTCACATAGCAAGGTAGATAAACCCTTATAATATCCTCTCTTCCACCAACCCTGGTGCGGTAGAGTACCATCATCCTTTCTCACCCTCATAGTGACAGTAGAGTACCAACATCCTTTCTCACCCTCCTAGTGACGGCAAAGTACCAACATCCTTTCTCACCCTCCTGGTGATGATAGAGTACCAACGTCCTTTCTTACCCTCCTAATCATAGTAGAGTATCAGATCTTCTCTAAAGATATTTTATTAAGAGTCTTCAAAGAAGTAGGGTAGAGATTTGAAGAATATACAAAGAGATCCTCACCTTTGGGCAACCTTGTGAACCCTTCACAATTTTTACTTATAAGATCTCTCAATCCTTACTCCCAAACACTCTCCCAAAACACTCTCTCCATCACTCATAAGAGAAAATTCATAGAAGAAGTGTTGCATAGTCAATTTTAAGACTCTTATATATGAAGGACAATAAAAACGGTCCAGAAAACTAAAAATTTCAAGTTGAACATACTTGGATCGTATAATATGATCGTACTTCATACATATGAGCAGTTCAAAAAAATCCTTATACGATCATGCATGAACTGATTTCATACTCTGTTAATCATATGTATAAACAATTCAAAATTGAATAGATTCTTCTGGTACGATTCTGTACGAATCCATTTCATACTCTGGTCAATATCTGTACAAACCCTATATATGTGGGCTCCAAAAAACCCATTTATGTGTGTGTCCCGACCTTATAATGCCATCCATATATTTTTCTTTTGAGTGTTAGTGTGATGATGATGACAAAGAGTTTTAACGAGATTAGGTTCCGGGGGAATTTTCAGAAGGCAGATTGGATTTTAGATAAGACACTACCAGAGATTTGGCCCTCATTTTGTGAGGACTTTTTTTATCTGAGTTCTTGTTTCCTATAGGCGCAAACCCCTATAATTAATTACCTCTCCTGATAATAGGAGAGAGCATTCGATTGAGGCTAGTCATTAAGGATGTCACATATGTTATGAACTTATCATATAATAATAGTAATAATTTTAGGGTTTTAGTCTTGGATTTAAATTTTAAAGTTTGGAATTTAGAGTTAATCACCATAAACTTAAAACTTGTGGTGGGGGGGATGAAGACGAGCCCGATCAAGATCCCATGGTTCCGTCGTCCCGGGCTATCATTATCCATGGTCTACTTAGTCAGAGGAGGTAGTCGACCCAATATGACAGAAGGTATCTTATCGACAGCCATGGGTTGCTTCATCCAAGAATACCTTATAGACCTAGATTGATATTTATATAAGGGGATAAATATGAATCCACTTAAGCTGATAGAGGGCTTTGTGCCTATAATATATACCCTATGATTCATAACTCAATGGTTTGAATCCTTTAGGGAACATACGGGCTTTGGCCATGATTGTAATATAATGGTGTTGTTTTACGAAAAAACCACCCGATCAGAGGGCATGTGCTACGTCCCTACTAGAAAGATACTATTTGAGGATGAATCATAGTGATACACCGACACGCATTCGCTCTTTGAGAGCTAAGGTTAGTTTCAAATTAATTACTCCTGATAAATGGTTGTGGGAGGTTGAAGTGTTTTAGTTTTAAGTTTTTAGATGATAGATTTTATTTCAAGAATTTGGGCTTTTGTTTGATTTGAGGTTTGACCCATCCGGTTTAAATTTTCTATCAATACGGCCATCATCGGGGTGGCTTTAAAATTACTTGTATTTTTATAGGATTTTGGGAGACATTTTTATAATTCAAGTTGTGTCGACTCCAGTCCTTTCAAGGAGGAGGATGAAACTTAAATATTTGGCCCAC